CCTCCTGCAGCCCTGCAGGTAGCACGGGAAAGACACTCCGCTGAGTTAGGCATTTTGCTTGGCCACCTCTGAAGGTGCTGTCCTCACTCCCATGTCCTCCCAGAGTCCTCTTCTCCTTCGGTCAGCTTCCCAGTCTGTGTGCTATTTTGCTCCCTTAGGAAAAGAGTTACTTCCTGCCTCCGTCCAAACTGGATTCCTTGGGCTATAGCCAGATACGAATGAAATCTTTCCTTGCTTCAGCCTTGCTCCCCTGGGGTGGACGGACCCCGAGAGCCTCCTGAGTTAGGGAGGTGGGAGAGCTGCTTCCACAGCCGGTCTCCACGCACCGGGCCGGGGCTCCCCTCCCCGCCAGTTCCCTCGGAGCAGGCACACCTCAGCCAAGCAGACACTGGGTTTTGTCCCTGAAGACAGCACCGTCTAGTTTCACATGAAGAATGTATGTTCCTCCCATTAACATCAGTTCCACTGTGTTCATTTCAAAACCACATCCCTCGCTTTCAAAGGAGCCTTGGACCACTGCTTGAGCTTGGCTTATGTCGTGAGTCACAGTGTCAGCTGTGAGTCATTTTATTTTAGTCATCCGGGATCAGCTGTAAGTAGCTTTATTTTAGACATCTGGGACAACTTTCTAATCCCCAAATCTCTTGTCTAGTAGAAGTGAGGACAGGAAGATGTGTGAGCTTATTCCTCCTGCTTGCAATTTCCTTACTTTTTTTTTTGCATTTATCTTCAGACAGAGCTGGAGGGAGAGAGAGAGGAAGAGAGAGAGAGAAACATTGATGTGAGAGAGACACACCAAGTGGTTGCCACCCACACGACCCCAACCAGGGCCAGGGACAAACTGCAACTGAGGTATGTTCCCTTAGCGGGAACCGAACCCCGGGACTCTCTGGTCCGAGGGCCGATGCTCTAACCACTGAGCCAAATCGGCCAGGGTAATTTCCTTACTTCTTATGCTCCTCCTTTCAAAATGTGTTTTCAAAAGGCACAGTTAGGTGGGGCTAGGGAAACAGCATTCGGCAAGAGTCTTTTTCCACTTCTCTCTGTCAGGGTCTTATAGGAAACACCTGTTTTGCACAAAGGCTGTAACTGAAGAGAGTTTAATAAAGGAACGATTTACAAAGGTGCAAATAGACTTAAGAGAACCCAACAAGGCAAGGGCAGGTGGCCAGTACCTCACAGAGGCCGGTAGAAGCAAGGGCGCTAGTGTTCCGGGGCCCAGGGAGCGCTGAAGCTGTGGAAGAGAGGACACTTGAAATCGGTGGCTAAAAGGATGTAACCAGTGCAAAACCTTGTCCTGGCACGGAGGCACAGTGGGAGACGTAGGCCAGCCCCTCTTTCTTCCTGTTCTCTGATCTCCTTCCAGTACCACACTTTGGCCAAAGCCGACTGGAAACCAGTGGGCAAAGAGCTCGCCAGGGTATAGGGAAGGCAGAGAAAGGTGGAGAATGGAGGGGCAACCAACACAGCCAACATTTGGAAGTTTAAAAAAATGGCCCATTTACCCCACAAAGCAAACCACTATGTACAACTTACAACTCACTATACTTTACAATTAGAATACTGGACTTCTGTGTGCACCAAAAGAAATTTACAAAAGTTGAAGTTCTCTCAGTTTAGCTTGTAACTTCAAGATGATTCAATGCCATCCATGCCATTACCGTGTGGAAGCTGAACAGACAGATGGCATACAGGGCACCTGGTTCCAAGTCTCGTGATGAGTGGGGTGCGGATTCTTTTCCCACCTCTTTGCACCTCATCTCCTCACTCTGCATTCAGTGTCTGTATCAGGGACAATAAAAATCTATGTCAACATGTGCATGTTTCCAGAATCACAGTTTTGTCCGAGGGCTATGTTGTTCAATGCCCTACCCCATCTCCCATCCTCCCTCTACACACGTATCGGGAATCCCGTAGGGAGCACTGCTGACAGGTTACCTAGTCTAGCTGAGTACTTTGGTAACACATGGTTTACCATCTCCTAAGGAAAATTTCTTAACTGAATAATTCTTTTAAAAAGTTGTTAACATTACAATAAATTTTTCCTGTTTCAAGTGACACGTTTCATCAAAGTTAAGTCCTAAAAGGACAACTTAAAAGTTGAAGTTCTCTCAGTTTAGCTTGTAACTTCAAGATGATTCAACGCCATCATGCCATCTGGCCGTGCTTTCAGTAAATGGAGTCTGGCATCCCAGAGATTCTTTTTTTTTTTTTTTTTTATCCTCACCCAAGGACATTTTTCCATTTTTTGTTCAGGTAGAGTGGGAGGGAGAGAGAGGAACAGAGAAAGAGAAAAAAACATCGATTTGAAAGGAACACATCGAGTGGCTGCCACCCGCACAACCGACCAGGGCCGGGGACAAACTGCAACTGAGGTACGTGCCCTTAGCGGGAACCGAACCCGGGTCTCTCAGGACCGCAGGCCGACGCTCTAACCGCTGAGCCAAACTGGCCAGGGCCAGAGATTCTTATTTGCTGCTGCTGCAGAGTGAAATCAACTCAAGAGTGGAGTGAAGGTGTTAGGTCAAGGGGATGAAGAAGTTAACTGAGGACAAAAACTAGATACTTGTAGAGAAAAGAATAGGGATACAATGACTCTGTTGTTAAAAATTACTAGCTAAGCCCTGGCGGGTGTGCCTCAGTTGGCTAGGTGTCATCCCATGCACCAGGAGGTTGCTGGTTTGATTCCTGGTCAGAGCACATGCCCGGGTTTTGGGCTCCATTCCTGGTAGGGGGCGTTTGGGAGGCAGCAAATTGATGTGCTCTCATATGTTGCTCTCTCTCTCCTCATTTTCTCTCTCTCTAAAAAGCAATGAACTATTCTTTTTTTTTTTTTTTTTAACTACTAGTTAAGTGTTCCAAAAGAAGAGAAACAGCATAAAATTAAACAAAATATTTGCAGCACTCAGGAAACAAAAATGTCTGAAAAAATCAAATGGGAAGATTCAGTGACTTTCTTTTTATTCCTACAGATCTACTCTTACCTTTCTCCACTCTGCTGTGTGCCCTGGGAGGTTGACCTTTGGGAATACATCAACTGCTCTTTGGCTTCTGATTAAATTAAGCCATTCGGACTGGGCAGGAGATTGGAGGGGAGGAGAGTAAGGCTGGAATATTCCCGAACCCCATCCTTCCTCTCTGTGGGGTCCCTGCAGGCTAGCTGTATCCCTCAGCTCAAGGCCATCGCCCCAGTCAGACTGCCCTCTCTACACAGTGCTAGCTCTCTGGACTTCAGTAGCTCTCTTCCCTTCAAGTCTGGACACTGAAAAAACCCTTGTGGTTTCCCACACCCTGCCCACAACTTTGTAAATACTAGGTCCTGCTCGTTATTAAACTGCCTAGCTGAAAAGTGCCATCAGTTTCCTGACGCCCATAAATATCTCCCAGCAAACATGTACTGAGTAACTACCATATCCTGAGGAGAATATAATGATAACTTAGTTAATACCTTCAAGGGGCAGTCTGGAAAGTGGAGATAGCCACAGGAACAGATGGTTATACCACATCTCAGTAAGTGATGTAGACATGCATTGGATACAGAAGTGGGGGGAGGTGTAAAATGGGGGCATAGCAGACTCTGGAGGTTTCCGGGTGGAGATAGGGTCAGGCAAACTTAGAAGCAGGAAGGTGGTAGAGAGTGGTCAGGAGCTGGAAGAGAAGTTTACTGCCTTGGACATCAGGGCCAGTCAGGTTGTGATAAAGGATTAGAGTGGAGGCCTAGGCTGGCTCAGTCCACAGAAAGCCTTGTACTGCGGGGAAGGGTCCTTCTATTCCATGTGCTTATTCTCCCTCTCATTCTCTCTCCACCAAGGGAAAAATAATGACACAGTGGAAATCTGCAGCCTCTTACTCTTAGCTGTTAACCCTGCCCACTACCAGGGCTTTGCACTCCTACTTTCTTGACCTAAAACCTGTTTTTTCTATTGAAAATCAGCCCCATACACTTTCTACACATTCTAAGGTCCTTCGAAATGGCAAGACTAGTCCGTGGAGATGAGCTGCAGGAGAGGGCTAGAAGTGAACGTTCCGAAATGCAATATACAAGTCCTAGCAGCTAGAGCCCCCTTAGCAATAGATAACACTAACGCTTCTCTTGTCCATTGGAGAATGGATGATAATAATGTTGGGAAGGAGGGCAGGGTGGGGCTTTGGTCCAGATTGGTTTGGGCAGGTAGGCACTTTTCATATCCATTTTTATCAGGCTATATAGGCAAGTCCAAGGTTAGGGAGGTGTCTGTCTGTCTTCCCTCTCTAAAGTGAAAACTGCAAGCAGTTTCCTTGCTAGGTAGGGCCAAGCCCATTCCATCCCACAGGTTCCTCCTTGTATTCTTGGCATCAAAGACGACCAGGCCAAAGCCTGGCCAGTGTGGCTCAGGGGTGAGCATCCACCCATGCACCAAGAGGTCTCCGGTTCCATTCCTGGTCAGGGCACATGCCCTGGTTGTGGGCCAGATCCCCAGTGGGGGGCATGCAGGAGGCGGCCAATTATCCACGTTCCTTTCTCTCTCCCTTCCTCCCTCTCTCTCAAACCAATAAAGAAAAAAATATTTTAAAAAAAGACGGCCAGTCCTCTAGGACTGGGGCTCAGAAGCCTTTACAAACCAAAATCACACACACACAACCCCACCCAACGGACCCTCCTCGTCTGTTAACCAGGATTGCGCTCTGGTTCAGCCTCCCTCGAGTAAGGAAGAGACACTGGAAGAGTTAAAAGAAACTGGCGGGTATGGAATCATCGGAGCTCCCACTTTCAAAACTAAGTGGATCGGTTGTTCGAGCCCTCTGCAAGCTGGGACGCCGAGTCGGGGGCAGCGGCGCGCAGCTAGGGTTCTCCGCCGCCGCCGCCGGAGATCCCTGCGGAAGGACCTTCTTCGGAGGGAGGGCCATCTACCCACCCCTTCGAGGCCCCACATTCCCCGCAGGCCCTCAGGAAAGCCCCTCCTTCTGGGCGGAGACTGCCCTCAGTGGACGCCCGCGATCCGCCCTGAAACCAGTATCCCGGGGCTGCTGCCGCCTCGCCGAGTTCCTGCGGCTGCGGCGACGCGGAGTATGGGGCACTGATGGCCATGGAAGGCTACCGGGGCTTTCTGGGGCTGCTGGTGTCGGCGCTGCTGGTCGGCTTCCTGTCCGTGATCTTCACCCTCATCTGGGTCCTCCACTACCGCGAGGGGCTCGGCTGGGACGCGAGAGAACCCGAGTTTAACTGGCACCCGGTGCTCGTGGTCACTGGCTTCGTCTTCATCCAGGGCATCGGTACTGGGCACCTCCGGGGAGGCAGCTGGAAGGGAGGCGCTGGCCGGGGGTCCTTGATCGGATCCCACCGAGTGGGGTGGACCAGAGCGAGCTAGGAAGTGAGGGAGGATGCAGGGGGTCCCGGGGCGGGGGAGCGGGGTGTGGAATGCTCTCCGGATCCGCGGCGGTGGGAGGGAAGAGGGTGGGCTTCGTGCAGGGCCGAATCTGCGGTAGACGCGGGCGATCGCGGGAGTGGCCGCGCTGGCGCAGGGCACGCGGGGCGGGGGGTTCGCTGCGAGACGCTCGTCGGTGGACGGCTGGGCGAGCGGCGCCAGGCTGAGCTGGCCCGGGGCGCGCCGGCCGCGCTTGGTTAACTCTTTCCCGGGAGTGGCTGGGACGCACTTGAGGCGTCCCGGAGACATCAGAAACGAGAGATGCCTGAGTGCCATGGGCGGTCCACACCCCGGGAAAATGGCTCCCTGTGGACCGACCCTGCGCGGTCGGGGGCGCGAAGCCGCCCGTTAGGCGAGGCCCTTGCGAAACTTGCTTCTGGGCTGCAGATGAGGATAGCGAGACAGCGGCGGGAGGGGAGGTGTGAGAATCCGCCTCTTGGAACGTCCAGCCCTGCGCCAAGGCCTGGGCAGCGGGCTGAGGGAAGCTTCCGCTCCGGTTTCACTCCTCCTAGAGGATTAACGCAGGCGAACCGGGAGTTGCCAGGACTCCAGAAGACCTTCTCGCGGCCCTGCCTGCGCTGTTCAGTCCGGAGCCCAACTTGTTTATGTGGCTGCAGATCGCAGAGTTCCCCTTCGGGACTTCCTGCTGGGCTCTGATCGCTCCCTCTGGGCTAGAGATGCCCGTAGGAGTCCGGGGCTGCGAGTCCTCTGCCCAGGATGTCCCTGAAGTTTGCTGCGTTGGAGTTTGGCCGGTGCGCGGTGAGCCAGCTCCCGGCCTGCAGTCTCTTGCATGAGGCTGGAGCGGAGGAAGAAGGGCTCAGGTTGGCCGTTTATTTACTTTTTGGATGCATAATTGACACATAACATTATCTTAGTTTTAAGTGTATAATATGATTCGATGTGTGTACGTATAGCTAAGTGATCACCACAATAAATCTAGTTGCTTATCCATTACCACACATAGTTATATATTTTTTTCTTGTAATGAGAACTTTTAAGATCTGTTCTCTTAGCAACTTTCAAATACACAGTACGTTATCATTACCCATAGTCACCATGCTGTACATTACATGCCAAGACTTATTTATTTTATAACTGGAAGTCTGTACTTTTTGACCCCCTTCACCCATTTTGCCTGCCTACCCGGTCCCCATCCTCCCCTGGCACCCAACAACAGGTAGCAGTTTATATTGTAGCACAGTGCTTCTCACCAGGTCCTGACAGTTTCCTTTGGCTGTTGTTTGGCTGGAGGAACCTCTAGCTTGTGGTACAAGTGCCATTTATTTGAAACCACTTTCCAAACACTAAGTTAAGGCCTTGGCAGAGCAAGTATTTAGAAAAAGGTAGAACATGGTGGACTGGGGTGATGAGGAGCGGCTGGAACCTCTAGCCTTGTCTCTGAGCAGACTGCCTTTTCTTCACCAAATTTAACTTTCCACAAACAAGCAAACAAAAGTGCCCACCTGATTCCTACAGAAAAGATTTTTGTTTAAAACTTGTGCTGCAACCTTTGGCAGGTGTAGCGGGCATTCTTCCACTCTGAGAGGTAGTGGCCAACGTTACTAACAACCTAGCTGTGGTCGGCGTGTTTCCATGGTGTGCGATTTGCACTGGGGTGTGAGTTGTTGCATTGTATAAGTCCCAGTTATTTCTCATTAAACTAAAATGAGAAACACATACTCAAGTCCCAAAGCTGCTGTCATCAGAAGCACTCTTTTCTTCCTGAAGGAGCCCTTAAGTTTGGCCAGAGCTGTCAACACCTCTGTTTGCTCCAAGTGGGAGGAACAGTTTCTTCGTCTCTTCCCGCCAAGTCTTCAGAGCAGTTCCTAATACTAAGAAACTTTCCAGAGGTTGTGGAATAGCTTCTCCTCATAATTGGTATTAGTTGTATCCTGACTTACCAAAGAAAAAACAAAGTAAAAAACAAGTTTCCATTTATCCAGTACTTTCTGTGTGCCCACTAAGTGCATTATTTCTTGTATACGAGTCAACTGAGGCATATATAAGTAACTTACCCACTGGGATACTGTGTTTTCTGTGGCCCTACTTTCAAGGTTTTTCCCTGCTTTTATAGAAATACCCTTATTTTCTGCCAAAACTTCTTTTTAGAGAAGCAAAAGGCTTCTTCTAAAATATACTTTGGAACTCTTCATTCATATTAGAGTTCATTACAGTTTTCCTAAAAGAATTTCTAGTTCTCTGAAATTTGGACTTAATGTGTTTATACTCACTTTTGGAGAAGAATGTGTACGTGGATATTTTGGAAATTTTCATCTGCTTTATGCAAACCTTGTTTTCTTGAAGTTTAGTTACTGTGTTTGTATCAGTTCTGGAATGTTTGTACTGTCAACATTACCCATCCTGTTTACTCTTTAGATTCCAGATTTGCAAAGCATTTAACCACATAATACTTTTCACTAACATGAACATAAACCTTTACACACATGTAGGCACATGCACAGTACTTTTGAGTTCTCAGGAATCTTGGCTCACTTGCACCTCCTCACATCCAACAGTAGGAGGGCTCCTGTGGAGGGACTAGGAATAAATAGCAGACTTTATGGGCAGGAGGGAAACACATGTTACAGACTAATTGTGTTATAGCAGACTTTTTTTCCTGTGTGGCATTGCTTCAGGAAGAAAATGTTTGGGCTATGTATCTGTAATGTAATATGCTGCCCATTCTTTTGCGGTATTGGCTTATCAGTGCTTCCCAACTGGCTCAACAGGAGAATGAATTACTGGGGGGAGAGAGGGAACTTTTATTTTAGATGCCACTATTATCATCACACATGAGTGCTTGTAAAGTTGCATTTTGTTACTAACAGTTTAATGAGGGTACAGAAATAATAGCTCATTCTCTCAACAACCACTGACAAGCCTGCCACGTACCAATTCTGGGTGTCATTGTAAGTGCTGGGGCTACAAGAGTGAACAAAACAATCATGTCTAAAACATTTTTATTACTTAAGTTATAAAAAGATCTGCATGCATATATTTATAACAAAAATGTGTTTTGGGTTGCCTTGAATTGTCTCTTTATACTTTGTGAAACCCTTTATTTCCCTTCCTCTCTCTAAAAATCAATAAATGAAATATTTCAGATCTCTAATAATGGTCATGGTGTAAATGAGTTCTGTGATACACAGATATTTAGAGACAAGGAAATGAAAGCTGGAGTACATACAGTTATCACTCAGCATAAAATGCTTTACAAATGCAATATACAAGCAATAAACAGTATTTTAAACTTTGTGAGAATAAGCACGAGTCCTTTGAAACACCTTTCAGATATAAAGTCTGAAGAAAGCAAGACTCACCTGGAGTTACAAAACCTCTCTCTCTCTCTCTCTCTCTCTCTCTCCATATATTTTGGAAGATGTTTGTGTTCTAAAATAAAGTATGACAGACTATAGAATATCTAAACCAAAATAAAAATGTAAGCTAGTAGGAAATCTGGTGAGGACAGATGAGGATGAGTTTCAGCAAGCACTTCAGAAGACGCTTTGTGCTTCTCAGGGAGGAATGTTTCCCATGAAATCGGTCCACTGCCAGGAAACCGGAGAAACAGATCCTGAAAAGGCCACAGAAGACTGACACAAATGAACCCTCTCAGAGTGGCAGTTGGCCTTTGAAAAGGTTCAACAGGTGGAATGTGTTCTTTAGAAAAACTTGGAAAATTCAAGTTTATAAATTTAGCGAAAAGAAGTCTCAGCAATTCTATACTCCTTACTTTTCCACTTGTAGAACTCTTTTTACTGTGTAAACTGAAGGAAGAGAAATTGAATAGTATAATGATATCAAATTGGTTTCGTGAGATAATGTAACTACACTTAAGGAACATTTAAAAGACTAACAGAAAGAAAGTAAGAGTAGTTCTTAAAAAGCAGTTGGGATATCCTACTAAAGTATCTCAAAGTGACCGAATTTCAAGACCAGTTAAATATACTTGAAAAGGCTCTTGGGTAAAACCTGGCAAAGAAGATAATGGAGAAAGTGCCCCAAATACCTGCTCCAAAACCAGCCTTGGGGACACAATTGATAATAAAACCTTTCAATATTAGGGAAATAAGGGTTTTAACAAAGTATAAAGAGACAATTCAAGGCAATACATTTTTGTTATAAATAAATGCATGCAGGTCTCTTCATAGTATGACTAATAAAAATGTTTTAGACATGATTGTTTTGTTCACTGTTGTAGCCCCAGCACCTACAATGACACCTAGAACTGGTACGTGGCAGGCCAGTCAGTGGTTGTTGAGGGAATGAGCGATTATTTCTGTACCCTCATTAAACTGTTAGTAACAAAATGCAACTTTACAAGCACTCGAGTGTGATGATAATAGTGGCATCTAAAGTAAAAGTTCCTTCTCTCCCCCCAGTGATTCATTCTCCTGTTGAGCCAGTTGGGAAGCACTGATAAGTCAATATCACAAAAAAATGGGCAGCATGTTACATATGTATCTTTATTCTAAAGGCCTCAAGCTCATAATATTGCTAAATTGCTATCTGTGCCTCCTCTAAGGACATCACTTCATCAATTGTCCTTTTTTCTTCTGCGTCATTAAGTTTCTCCCCCAATGGATTATTTCCAACATGTTATCATTTCTATCATCTGAAAAAACAACCACACTTGTGACTCCATATTCCCCCTTCAGCTACTGCCTCCATTCTCTGCTTGCCTCACCACAGAACTTTTTTTTTTTTTTTTTAATCCTCACCCGAGGACATTTTTCCATTTTTTTGTTCAGACAGAGCGGGAGGGAGAGAGAGAGAGAGAGAAACATCAAAGTGAAAAGGACACATCGAGTGGCTGCCACCCGCATGACCCAACCAGGGCCGGGGACA